CAATAGTAATTGGTTGTTATAACGCTAACAAGAATATGATTGAGAATATTATGCAAATGCATTTATACATTAATTTCAGTACTTGAATATTAAATTAAAAGAAATGTTGAGAAGTCAACAGAATTACATGTCTTTTAATAAATAAAATAAATTTGTTTTGTTCAATTGGTAGATATATCCAAGAACGTGATTGAAAAAACTGTTCAATTTGAATAAAACTAAAAAAATTATAAAAATAAGTAAAAAGCAACCAGTTTAATTACAATTTTTCATCTTAATCGATCATATATGGAAAATTTTATTATTCTGATACATTTACGACAATGTTATCTTTGAGATAAAAACAAATTTAAAGTATTTTTGATGTTAACGACCTATTTTGTCTAAGTATAACAATCAATCATAACAAGTTTATTTTTAATCAAATGAGTAACTTTGGATTACTTATTCATTCAAGGATCATTTGAACAGTTTTCTCAATTGTGCGAATAAGATGTCTTTATATACAGTGGCTTCCAAAAACTTATTAACGATATATCTTAAAGTTACTGTTAAGATTTATAGGATTATTTTTATGTACTTTTGATGATTTTGACAAAAAACGCTCATTGATTCTGTAAGTACTTTAATACTAACTAATTTTGTGAAGTTAGCACGACCAAGAGAAGCTATGGGAGGATCACACGGCACTCAAGTTTCATTTGTTTTCTCCCCGCATCCATTGTCTAGGTTCTCATGGGAAACAAAGGTGTGGGAAACTATTTGAATGGTGCAAAATTCCATGTATAAAGGAAACAGAAATAAAAAAATCGTTCCATAGGTTAAAAATGGTCGCCCTCTAATAGTGGTCGATTTTCCAGTATAAAACCAAACATTTGAAAGAGTGAGATTCGTGATTTGGGTTTCTGAAAATGACACATGTCTGCCGAATTTAATGGATGATTTACAATGATCCAATCGGCTGCAGTACTATCGGTGTAGATCAGACGGCTTTTAGAGGGAAAAAAAAAACAAACAATCCTGTGCCTTTTTCGTGTTTCCAAAAATAAAAAGTGAATTGGAGTGCAGCGTCTCCATGACAGATTCTATCGAATGAGATGAGAGCACTAAACATTGAATTTCAGAACTGCTTAAATGATTTAAAGCACCCAATGGAAGCTGCTGTTAAGTCGCATATGGATTCATTCGTCACCCAGTTCGTTAAGAGAACAAATCATTGCTATGAAGTTATGAAAGCGAGATTAAAAATGAAGATCAAAATACTTTTGGGACTGACCTCGTATAATTACCAATAACGAAAAGGTGGACATGTTAACAATTAGATTAGCTTATATAATGACTTAATTGATATAATTATGATACTAAAAGATGCAATCTAAAATGACAAATGAAGACGTACAGGACACAGGCCAACGATGTGCACCAATCACATGACCTCATCCACCGTCATCACAGAGATGGCGTCGACATCTGTCAAAATTTACCGGCCGTGTACCGACGATGTACCAGGTGTGCCGGTGACATCATTGATATTCAGGATGTAGTCAGAAAATTATAGCATAAATCCGTTTCAACTTATATAAAAAACAAAATTTTTGTCATACCATATATCTTCCATTCAAACTATATATCAAGTACACTGTATATAAAAACATTGAAATCAAACACTTTTTAAGCAGAGAGGCAAAATTATCAAATATCTTCGTAGCTTTGTTTTATTAATATAAAGCATTTTAACACTTTGTATACAATCAGCAAATTCAAAACATTTTTTTTTTATTCTCTCTTAACCAGCACGAATGATAACTCAACAATATGTGGTGTGAACGCGGTCCAAATAGAGAACAAACTAGAAACTGGAAAACGAAATCTAGAAATAGAATGAAAGGAGAGGATTGATTGAACAAATCAAGGTCCAACCAGAGTTGCGGGCCAATCGTAATGATGAACGCCCCGATAATCCATGATCCTAAACTTCCACCATCTTTTCATAGCAAAGTTTGGAAAAGAGGATATAACCCGGATATCTGTTTTTCAAGCAACAACCTCGAAGACCGATGTACCAAAGTAGTATATGGCCCCATACCGAAAACTCAGCATAGACCAATTGGTATAAATATCTTCCCAATTGTCAGACCACAAGCTATTCCATTCAGAAGGAGATTTAACTTCAAAAAGGCAAACTGGCAAAAGTATGCAGACATGCTAGATTTTGAACTACTACGCCTTGAACCAAAAGTAGAGAACTACGAAAAATTCGTAGAGGTACTCAAAAATGTGTCTAGAAAAGCTATCCCTAGAGGATGTAGACAACAATATGTTCCCGGGATGTCCAGCGAGTCCAAAGAACTAATGAGAACATACCCTCTATTCCACTGACCCTTTTAGCCAAGAAACGGTTGACTGCGGAGCAGTACTACTCCAAAAGCTAAGTCAAGCCAGACAGGAAAAGTGGATTGAGACCCTGGAAAAAATGGACATGACACATAGTAGCAAAATAGCATGGAACCTTGTAAGAAAACTTAGCGGTGATCCAAAAGAACATAAACCACCTTGCAAGGTTACAGCAAACCAAGTCGCTACTCAACTCCTTACGAATGGAAGAACTACTAACCGATATAAGGACCCAAACACTAGGAGAAGATTGGATTCGGAGACAAACCACCTAGGAACTCCTTTTACACTAAAAGAACTCCACGACGGTCTGAACAGGTTAAAAAACGGGAAAGCTGCACGGGTGGATGATATATGCAGTGAACAAATAAAGCATTTAGGCCAAGGAGCAAAAAACTGGATCTTGCAATTTTATAACACGTGCTGCAAAACCTGCAAAATTCCAAAATCATTGAGGAAATCTAAAGTAATAGCCTTGTTAAAACCAGGAAAGGATCCAGAAGACCCCAGTAGCTACAGACCTATTTCGCTATTGTGTCACTTTTTTAAACTATACGAGAGACTCATACTCGCCAGAATAGAAAAAAATGTCGACAAGCACCTCATCCCACAGCAAGGAGGATTCAGACCTGGCAAATCTTGCACCGGTCAAGTCCTCGCATTAACAGAACACATTGAAGAGGGCTTTGAAGAAAAACTTCAACAGGGGCTGCTTTTGTAGATCTGACAGCAGCCTATGACACAGTAAGGCACAAAACATTGCTCCGTAAATTATACGACACTCTCAATGACCACCATCTGGGAAAGGTCGTATATTCCTTACTGCAAAATAGACGTTTTTTCGTTATGCTGGAGGGTAAAGTAAGTAGGTGGAGAGTTCAAAACTGCGGCCTCCCACAGGGAAGTGTTTTAGCACCAATGCCCTTCAATATATACACAAACGACCAACCTACTCCGACCGAAACCAAGCACTTCCTCTATGCTGACGATCTTGCAATATGTGCTCAAGGAAATAGTTTTGAAGAAGTGGAGGAGAAACTCGAAACTGCCTTAAAAACAATGATAGCGTACTACCTGCAGAATTCTCTGAGACCCAATCCCTCTAAAACCCAAGTCTGCGCTTTTCACCTTCGCACAAAGGAAGCCAAGCGAAAATTCCAAATTGTGTGGAATGGTAATGCATTAGAACACACAAACCAACCTATATATCTTGGAGTCACTCTGGACCGGTCCCTCACCTACAGACAACATTGCATAAAAACAAGAGGAAAAGGAAACAAACAGGGAGAGATAGGAACAGCATACTCAGAAAGCTAACGGGAAGAAAATGGGGCGCACGTCCTGGCGTTTTAAGAACAACGGTACAGGCACTGTGTTTCTCAACTGCTGAATATGTGTGCCCCGTTTGGAGCAGATCTGCCCACACCAAACAAGTTGATACTGCGCTAAATGAGACATGCAGGATAGTAACGGGGTGCATGAAACCAACGCCACTTTCAAATCTATATAGAGCAGCGGGTTTTGCAGAACCCTCAACACGCAGAGGCGCTGCAGAACACATAGAGAAAATTAAACATATCGCGGACGATCTACATGCCCTTTACAAAGCTCGAACACCACGAAAGCGACTAAAATCTAGGAAAAGCTTCCTTGGAACAGTGCAGGATGAACCGTCTGAGTATTTTCCACTTCCTCAGGTTCAATGGACCGGCCAGACCCTAGACTTTAAAACGTGGAAAACCTTGAATAGGATAAGAACGGGGGTTGCTACAGTAAAATCAAACATGGCAAAATGGGGAAAAATAGACCAAGATTATGTGAACTGTGACTGTGGAGAAACACAGAAACACGATAAAGTAAAGTAAGTAATGCCCCGAGGATCACACTTCTATGGAAAAAATTTAGCTACGGTAAAATTATACACCAATTTTTGGAATTACTTATTTTATTTTTCAAGTAATGTATTCTTAACTCTATATTTTAGGTATATGTTTGCAATAATTTTGGCGTATGCACTCTTAACAATTTTCTTAATAGATCCTTTTAGAAAATTTTCTTAGAAATGAATACCAAGATATTTGGGTTTCCTAAAATATAAAGAAGAATGAGAAATCGACAAGGTTGAGTCCACCTGGGGCCTTTAGGTATCTTAAAAACAGTTGATAGTTTTGTTGGTGCTAGGAATTGAACCGGACTTTTCACATAATAATCAAACAGTCTACTGTATGAGCTATCTATCCCGAATACAACGTAAGAAAGAAGATAGTACTGTAAAAAACAGTTACTCATATAATTATATTTCCTATTTTGGAATTTATACAAAATAATTTTTTATTAACTACCAAAAATAGAATAAAAAATGCAAACCGTAATTAAAATTAAGGGAACAAAGCTGAAGTTAATATGCTTGGAAAATCCATTCCATACGCCAATTTGTTTCAAAAAGTATTTGATATCATAATTTCCACCCATTTGAAGATAAAACCAAACACAAAAAACCGGCAGTACCGTTTGTTTCTATATTAAAATAAAAATAAAAGACCTAATCCCACCTGTCAAAATATATAAATATAGAAAACTGAGCAAAAACTGGTCAAGTGATTTACCTGATAAGATTTTCATTTGGTATATGATTCCTCGAATACCTCTGCTGGATGTTATTTTTATTCCCGTCCACTCTCCCTTGCCGGTGTTTCCTTCCCGCCTCGTGAAAGGCAAAATAGGCTCTAAAAAAGGCCCTGACAATAGCCCACCTAAACACGGCGACAGGATCGGCTCCCACCAATTCTCGGACAAACGCCATGGAACTGTTTTTTAGAACTCCTACGATATCTTGTCGCATCAGATCGAGGTTCTTCTCCCGCATATCCATTACTTGGTACTTCACTTTTCCCGCGTAATGGACTATTATGAAGGCGCCCTCTTTCTTCTGCGGTTTCTGGTAGAATTTGTTGTCTTTGTGAACGGTATTAAACTTTTGAAGTAAAGTTTCGTTCGTCGCACCAGGAAAGCTAAGAAATAATAAAGGTAATTAGGTTTAGTTTAAAACAATTACTACAATATTGTTTGAAACAAGAATAAATGAAATGCTTCAGAACAGCAATGCTGTATCTACAACAACAACCGATGCCTAGAGAAAAAAATATAAACATTGTCACATTTTATTTTTCGTATTTTTTTTATTTATTATTTGTGAAAAATAGTTTAAACCACTAATAAAAGTAAAATAAAAATAAATAAATAAAGACCAGAGAACAATTAGAAATACTTGGAACTATACAGAATGGAAGGTGACAAAGATTGCATGCTGTGGCATCTAATACAGAGATGGACTAGTACAGCCCATAAATAATAAATGTTTGAATAATCCATACAATTTTCCATAGAATAAAAATTCTTTTATGCGTAGCTAAAATACACTGAGAGTCATGAAAAAGAAACCACCTACTATTTTTGGCATTTTTTAATTTTTAAGAACCCTACAAGAAATTGATTGTCATTAGATTTTTGTTTAATGTTTAAGAACATTACATTATTGCTGTTTGTGCGACCCAACTGTCCTTGGTAACTATTCTTGAATCATATGGTCTCACAATGCACGTTAATTCTCCAACAAGAATCTCATAAACATCATCTTCGACAATTGATTATGTGGTTTCTGATTTTCCACCCGCTGACGTCCATTCTACAGTTATTAATGGGGGGCTTTCTGATCATGAAGCGGTATATACCAAGTTTAGCAGTTTAAATACATCCCACTCAAAAACCCGACGATTAGGTAGGATTTTTTCCACTCAAAACTTTCGTAAATTCTATGTTTTACTTCTGACTGAAGTTTTTCTTTTGAAGACATTGACTGTAATGATAGTGATTTTCTAAATAGACTTGTATCTATTTTTAATGAAGCATTTCCTCTATTAAACATCAGGCCAAAACATTACAAACCTTGGATTACCAAAGGCATTCGCATATCTGCGAAGAATATGCGTTCTCTGCTATATATTAAAAAATTTAATGACAGTATCCCCATCTCTGATTATATCAATTAAGTACAGAAAATGCTATCTAAAACTACTTGAAGTACCCAAAGAATCCTACTTTCATAATCGCCTAACAAGCTCCACAAATATTTCAAAAACTTAGTCAATAATAAACGATTTTCGAAATAAAACCAGTGCAGCGAATCAAACCTTTTCTTTTCCTAACCCCAAAAATCTAGATTACTTTGTTAATGTGAGTAAAAATATAACCTCAACTATTTCACCACAACAAGATCCAGTTTCCTATCTCCCTAATTCAAAAAACATTGCTGACACCTTCTTTTTAAGACCAGTTGATAAGACTGAACTCATTCGAACAATTCGTAGTATAAAAAGCAAATTGTCCTGTAGTACAGATGGATTATGTATTAAAATTTGATGATTCCCTTGAAAAAGGTACATTCCCTAACTGCGTAAAGACTGCCATCGTTATTCCTCTTCATAAAGGTGGAGAAAAATCTGATGCCTGCAACTATAGACCTACTGCCTTGTTACCAGCACTATCAAAAATTATTGAAAGGCTTATAAATGTTCGACTTATGCCCTTTCTCCTTAAACATAATATTTAATCGCAAAATCAGTTCGGCTTCCTGTCTAATAAATGTACTAGTGATGCCATGTTTTCTGTGCTACATGAGGTATATCCATCACTAAATAGTAACCTCTCCTCCGCCACCGTTTTCTGCGACTATTCCAAAAAAAATTAACTTTCTATGGAATTCGGGATGTGTCTTTGAATTGGTTCAAAACCTACTTGGTAGGTAGGAAACAATTACCGACTCTAGTTGTAAAGATATTGAGTGTGTAGTACCGCAAGGTTCAGTATTAGGTCCCATTCTTTTTTTACTTTTCATTAATGACATCGCTTACTTGAAAATTAAAGAGAAAATTTTTCTATTTGCTGACGATACCAGTATTACTTGGAGCAACTCTAATATTTTAACGCTTCATTCAATTATAACTTCTAATTTGCTTATAATCAAGGCTTGGTCAGACTCCAACTTACTTAGCTTTAACGTGGATAAGACAGTAGCATTATCTTATAAAGGAGTCATTCAACCCTTGCTTTTGAATGAGAGCCAAATCAATATCGTTAATTCCGTAAAATTTCTAGGTATTCTTATCGACAGTGATCTTAAATGGTCCTTGCATACTGACTCCTTAAGGAAGAAACTAGCCTCAGTTTGCTTTGCAATAAGATCTGTTTCGAAGTAACTAAATTTATCTTTTGTAAAAATGGCATATTTCTTATTGTTTGAGTGCCATCTTTGATATGGGCTTCCATTTTAGGGTTCTAGTACAGCGGCCCAATTTGAGACTATTTTTAAGTTGCAAAAAAGAGCAATTCGTTATCTATTTGGTCTCAAACAAACAACTCATTGCAAGACCTACTTCAAAAATCACGGAATTTTGACGCTTCCCTCTTTATTTATTTTGGAAACGGTTTGTTTGATTCGCAAGCATCTAAACATTTTTCCCGATAGACCTGATCATGGCTACTCCATTAGAAATTCTCAGCTAGTAAATAATTCCATTCTATATAGTGCAAAAAAACTATATAATCACCTTCCAAGAGAAATTAAGTTTCGTTAGATGACAAAAATCTAAAATGTCTGAAAGACCATATTATTCAGTTGACGAGTTTCTTAGTGCATAACAAAGAAACAAAATTAGTACTGTTTATAATTACATTTGGGTGTCTCAAGCAGTGGCTACAACTTGTTTCATTTGTTGTCTGTACAAATTATGAAAGTTATACAATAATTTTACTAATTTAAAATTGTATTGTTCTGTTTTTTTATTATATTTGTTTTCTTTTATACTTTTTGTACTATTTGACTGATTTTTTTAGCTTTGTCCATAAAATTGTTCAATAATTTTCAGTGACAATAAAGCATATTTCTATTCTAATATATTCTATTCTAATAACAAATGTCAAAAAACCCAAAATTATGATTTTAATGGAAAATTTTAAAAATTAACATTGTAAATTTTTGTCGCTTTCTTTATAAAAATGACAATAAAGTGATTTTTAATATTCTGTATTATCACCTCTATTTTGAATTGCATTCCTCATTCGATTTAGGATCAAATACTTCCATGAGCGCTACTCTAAGCTGCTCACGATTTATTAGAGCAGGTATTCTGTTTATTACTCTTCGTTTGAGTTGGTCTCAAAACATGCTCAATCGGGTTTAAATCTGGGTTTTGAGCCGAATATTGCAATCATTTTTGGCACACCGACAGTTTTCACGTATTGCGTTACCATTCTGGCTAAGTGTGACCGCGCGTTGTCTTGCATGAAAATAAAGTTTTCGCCCACAAATCCAGCAAAAGGCATTACATGCTCGTCTAGAATTTCGGCAATATATCGGTGAGTATTCAAAGCTCCTTTATTAAAAAACATGAGATCAGTATGGCTTTCGAGTAAAATACCTGCCAAAACATTACAGAGTCTCCTCCAAAAGCAACACGTTGTCATCGAGCATAAGCAGCGCATATAGTTCACCACGTCTTCTGTACGTTTTGATGCAACCGTCTGAGCCATAAAGAAACTTTCTGAACTCATCTCTAAACAACACATTTTTCCAATCTTCTATCGTCCAATGTTCGCGACCTCTAGCAAACTCAAGTCCGCGTTGTCGATGTGCTGCTGTTAACAAAAGTCCTGTTGCTGGGCAACGAATCCAGCCCACCTTTAAACTAAATTCCCTCAACCTTCTTCTCACTGTAGAAGTGCTTAATGTCCACCCGTAAGCATTTTGAAAACGGTTTTGGATTTTGGTTTCTAGCCGTAAAGAATCGATTGTGCAAAGAAGTGCGTTGTAAAAAACGGTCTCTTCTGGTAGTCGTTGAACCATACAACCATTTTTGGACCATACAACGACTGACTCTGACTATCATATCATATTAAAATAGATGTTAAATAATGTGACCTAGCCTTATTAAAATTCTTTCCAAATTTCAAATCGATTCAAGACATAATAGTGAACTATTTGTAACTAATTTAGTAATAACTGATAACTTACTTGCACTGATCATCCAACAGAAAAATAAGCCCATTTGGTTTTCCTTCTATTAACTGCAAACATCCTGTATTGTCCATAAACTCTATATTAGTCCACCTAATACACTCTTTCCTATACTCTTCTTGTTCATACTTAAAAACATGCTGATTGAAGTAATACTGAAGATGTTCGTTGGCGTAGTTTATGCACAATTGTTCAAAACTATTGTTCAGTCCAAAATCCTCGAACCCGAAAATGTCCAAGACGCCTATTGAATTTCCCTGGTGTTCTCGAAGAGTGTCCTTTTTGGCTAAGAGAGCATGGTTGACTTGGAGAACGATCCAGTCAAAAAGCGCGCCGTAGAGGCATTTAGCCATTGCGTCTCGAGAGGCAATGGCTTCAGGCAGCCGGTAGTTGATGACGAGGGTTTCCCCTGAGGCACGGGCTCGTTTGGCGGTTAATGCTTGCATTAGTGTTTCCTGCAAATAAAATGGTGGGTAAAAATACCTGACACATCTGTTGTTTAATATAAAGTAATTCACCAATAAATTTACTAAGATTAGTAGCACGTTTTAAAAATACAAATGGTACAACATAATTCATATTTAGTTATATGAATTTTAGAAAGTACAGTACAAACTTAAACCCCCCAAATTTTACCCCATAACTGTCATCGGATCCTAAAATAAATACTGAAGTCTGAGCTGTGAGAATGTAGGACAGGCTGAGCAGAGAAGTTCCCGTATCCTTCATGACATTAGGATAGTTGTTAATAAAGTATAACCAAATACATATCCGCGGATCAATCACATTATACCCCAAAATCCACATAATATTCAGAAATTTGATTCAAACCTACTACCAACCCCCAGAATAATACCCACAGGACCTTTGCGATACTCAAAAAACTAGTAATATTACAATCACGATCCACAGTCCCCACATTAAAGCCAAGCAGTATGAATTCATAGCCCCCCATCATATTCCCAACGCTGATCCACGGACTCCTTTCAGACTACACAATCAAGGATTTTTTTCCTATACCACGTTAATTCGCTATATTCTTGATTCTAGAACTCCTCTTGTCACTCTACTCTGAAATCATGATATAAGGGCTGCAGCTAGTCATTAACTATATATTTGTTAATTGAATATGGAACACAAACTCACACATAAAAACACAAAATGTACAGGCACATCGCAACTGATTTATCATATGGTGAGAATTGTTCTGCAACAATGACTGCGTTTCCTTGAGGTGTAATACTGTCGTGTCCAGGGTATGCATGGTACAGTGGGAAAAGTATTACCTCAGTATTTCGTCCCAACTTATGGGTATAAAATGGACAAGAAGACAAAAAGAGACGACCCAGAAGACTCACAATAATCGAGTGACTCGTTCGAGTCAATATAAATAAAAATATGAAGGGGCGTGAGAAGAGAGACAGTCGCGGACAAGATCTTTACTCTAATAAGTCAATGACCTCAATCAGGGTCTTATGGGTGAATTTTCAACACAAGGCAACTTTCGCATTACTTACTAGTGCTACGGACGGTTCGATGTTGCCTTGACACAAGAGCCCTGGGTGTACCAGAGCCAAATAAAATAGCTACCTTGTTAAGTCAGTCGTTGCTTTTCTCAAAAAAGGATATAAAACTAGTAGGTAGAATTATGGGAGAGATTCTTGCTTTAGGCTATTGACTCATCAAAGAATTGAATGATGTTTCTGTCGGACAGTTATACAGATTTCCACACCTTTAAATGATGAATGCCTTAGGTAACAATACGTATTAAGGTACAAAGACCCTTCTTTACCTACCATTTACTTAAGATTTTCTGACATTATACAACTAATATATAAATCTAATTTGTATCTAAAATAGTAGTGTTCAAATCTCGGACATAGTGCACTGAGTGTATACCACGATGACCAAACAATCAATTACCTATGCAGTGACGATGTGGTGGATTAAGACACTTCAAACAACTGGCAAAAGCCAAACTCAGCAAGTTTCAAAGACTTGTCTATATGGAGGATCTACTAGGCCTGCCTCCCTTGCATTTGATAATACAATCAAGATCAAGAGAATCAAGATTGGGAGCCTACAGAATAAAACAATCAATGAAACTTTGAAATGAAGGGACAGGGAATATGAGTATCACAAGTACTGTGACGAAGGACATTTTTAATAAGAAACCAGATCACATGACAAAATATACAATTTTAAGAATCCATATAGGGTGTCTATTCCAGACAAGAATGCATGGAAAACAAGGAGTACCATAACCAACAGGGTAAGATCTATTATACAGATGGATCCAAAACTAGAAAACTAGAGAAAGTTTTACCGTGAGGACGAACTGCACCGTTTTTCAAGCGGAGATCTATGCGATACTGCAATGTTCAAAAGGAAATAATGAGAGAGCTCTTGAAAAATTGCAGATTCATATATTGTGTGACATTCAAGCGGCACTGAAGGCACTGGCGTGTCAGGAAGTGACGTGTAGGCTGGTGTGGAACTGCATAAAATAACTGAATGAACTGGAAGACCGGAACAAGTTGAGCTTATCTGGATACGAGGACAGCAGGGCATTGAAGGCAACGAAAAAGCAGATCAACTTGCAAAAAGAGGATTGAACGAATCAAACGAACAGGCTATAACAGTGAGGCAACTACAAAGGCTCCAGTTGTAGGGCTGTAGAGGACTGGATCAGACAGACTCATTAGCGATATTGGGAGAGAATTCCCCAAGAGAGAATCATTGAACAAAAAAGACTAATGAGATATAGAAATATCTTTCAAAATGCTTGTAATAATACTTTAAAATTACTTATAACAACTTAACATGATATTCTTGTTTTTCCTCTCAAAGAAATAGCAAACATTTTTCAGAAAAAATACATTGTTATAACAATATATCATTCTATATTTACTTTTTGTTCATTGACTTCTCCTCTCGTAATATTATGATTTATTTTGTATATAAAATATCTTCAAGGAATTAATATTCGTGTGTATTTAAAAATACAAGTAGTTAATCATATAATTATGATAACACAGTAATGTTTATTGGATTAAACAAACTGGTTTTGAAATGTTAGCAGTGTTATCTCTAATTCTACATATGCAAAGCAAAGGTATAAATTAAAAACACGAATATATCAGCTTATGACAATTAAGTTGATTCTATTAGTATCTACACTTCAACTGTCTTGACCGTTTATCTACCACAGTTTGATTTCCTACGTTTCTTTTCTTGCAAGTCATTGTGTTGAATATTTCTTCTGCACTTTTTCATTAATATTGTCGGTAATATTACCATGCAACAGAATATACCAGGAGTTTTTCTTATATGTCAATAATTGATTGATTTATTCTGTATATATAAAATATATCGTTATAGGTATATAAAAATCTCTTGTCACGATGTTCGTTTACGCTGATCTCCGAAACCACTGGATAGATTCCGATGAATTATTTTTTTACTTTGTTTCAAAAGTTTTCAATAGATGACGAAAAAGATAAATTACGAAGATGAAAAGAATGTATGCAATAATTATTCGAAGATGCAGCTGAAATAAACAATCCCTACGGGCCAGAAATAACAAACAAAGAAGTAACTATGGCCATTAAGCGGAAAAAAGATGGGAAATCACCAGGACCTGATGAGGTGCATGGTGAAATTTTAAAGCTACTAGAGGCACACCAAACCACAGCTCTTACGAAGCTATTCAACAACATCTACGAGACTGGTATTTGGGATCACAGCTACGAAATACAAACTCGTATTGAAAAAGCAGGAGCTCTTTCAACAACCTTGGGAAGATTTTCTGCAACTTATCTTTAAGTATCAATATACGCATAAGAATTCTTAGATGTTACGTCTTAAGTGTCCTCCTCTATGGAGTAAAAATATGGTGACTTACAAAAGATGCCATAAAACGATTAGAGGCATTTGAAATGTGGTGCTATCGACGTATGTTGCGGGTCTCATATATACACCACATAAGTATTTTCTAGAAGCTAAGAAAAGACACTCTTAAGACGCTCTGAACCTCTTCTTTTGGCATTTGTGGATTACAATAAGGCATTCGATTCCATAGAATTCTGGGCGGTATTAGACGGAATGAACAACGCAAGGATAGATTCCAGATATAGAATGCTCCTAAAATACATATACGACAATGCAACTATGCAAATAAATGTAGCAGAAGGCCTAACAACAAACAAAATAAGATCAGAAAGAGGTGTTCGACAGGGAGACACCATATCTCCAAAATTATTTACTCTTGCATTAGAAGATGTGTTCAAGAAGTTAAATTGGGAACAACTCGGAATTAAAATTGATGGCAGGTTTTTAAGCCACCTAAGATTTGCCGATGACATAGTACTCATAAGCAACAATACAGAGGAACTAATCTACATGCTGAAGGAGCTTAAACAAGAATCTGAAAAAATCGGTTTAAAAATGAATTTAAATAAAACAAAAGTAATGACAAATCAAAATATCACAATCGACTTAGATGGAAGTGAGATCGAAAGTGTCGAAGAGTATATATACCTAGGTCACACCATCAAACTAGGCAAACAGAATCAAACAGCAGAGATAACTAGAAGAATCCGAATGACTTGGGCAGCAGTAGGCAGACTCAGTGATGTGTTGAAGAACAAAAAGATACCAATAAATCTAAAGAAAAGGGTATTCAACAGTTGTATTCTACCGGTTATGACTTATGGAATGGAGACCATGACACTTACAGAGTTGTCAGCCAACAGATTAAGAACAACACAGAGGGCCATCGAACGAGCTATGTTGGGAGTATCACTGAGAGAACATATACGAAACGAGGACATACGAAGCAGGACGAAGGTGGAAGATGTAATTGGAAGAATTGCACAAATGAAATGGAACTGGGTAGGGCACGTGGCACGGCAAAACAACGACAGATGGACGAAAAACATTGTACATTGGAGACCACGCGAACACAGTCGGAGTAGAGGAAGACCACAAAAACGATGGCTAGACGACATCAAAGCAAAAATGGGGAGAAACTGGCACCAAATAGCACAAAACAGGGAAGAGTGGAGAACTCATGGGGAGGCCTTTGTCCAGGAGTGGATGCAAACAGGCTGAAGAAGAAGAAAAGACAAAGAAATTATTAACACCGTAGAGAACAGAAATTTGGCTTACTTCGTTCACATCATGAGTAATATTTCTGCAGTTGATTCTACAAGGCAAGATTGAGCATAAGAGAAGCCCTGGACGTAGACATATATCCTGGCTGGCCAACCTTAGGAAGTGAACTGGTCTAAGGTCAACTGATTAAGTCAGTGCGATTGTGCCAGTATTTAATAGGTGGAGGAGTGCAGAAATAACATGTGTGTTCAATTTCTTGCGTATTATTATTTTGATTGTATCTTCATTGTGGGTCGGTCAGATAGCTCAGCGGGCTGTGCGGCTGCCTCTCATTCGCTTCACTGTCGAATGGTTCAGTGGATGTGGGATCGAGCCCCAGCTCGGTGTACAGAAAACAAAAGTCTAACGCAGCAGTTTAAAATTCTAGATGAATCTGCGGCTTAGATCTGATCGGCCTATGGTGGAGCAGTACGGCAAGAGATAAGGGCTTGCGGCTCGGTGATACTCGTCCATAGATCCCTACCGGACGGGCGTAACGCCTAAAAAACCGGATATATATATATATATATATATATATATATATCTTCATTGTACCGAGTGTTATTTTGTACATTATTAATTCTGAGTATAATTTCAATTCGGGTTTGTGCATTTTTTACACTGTTAAGCACTTTATTTTCAATAGTAATTTTTAGGTTATGTTTATTGACATACATTTTTAAATTGTATCTGAATTTAAGAATGTATATATTAGGGGAAGAATATATTAGGCTAAGAGAAACTTAGCAGAGGAAAACTGACTCAACAAAAGATAATGGAGATTTGATGTCGGAAGGCGAATCACACTATAAAGCCAGAAATTTTTCGTCCAGAAAAAAAACTTTACATAACAATATAACTAAATATAAACATAATTTAGAATGTAAAAAAGTGTTTTATTCTTTAGTACGATGTAAATTTTAATTAAGATTTCGATAATAATATAACGTATTGTCATTCTGTGGTTCAAGAAGACATTTCAATTCTCAAACCCATTCCATTTAAGATTTTTCCCAATGATTATTTTAAACAAATACATTAAAGAGTAGCACCTTTCAGGTGTAACAAACAAACATTATGCAACGTCTAAAAATATGAACTAAATCGGGTTTTAGTATATTACAGTAAATTATATAATACAAATATACTGGTAACCAATGAACAGTTGGTTATAAATCAATAGTTTCAATATTTATTTATCGCAAACATTAGGTGAATACCTCTCTAAAATTTATTATATGTGCATTAAAATACATTTTAAAAATGACAAACAAATCATATGTCGTTATTTTTCTGTTGTAAGTTTCCTTTAATAATAAATTTAATATAACAGAAAACAGTGATAATTAAGTGAAATTTTCTGATTTATTATAATAATAGTTTGTTATCTTTATATAATTGATTTTGGTTCATTTGATTTTCTGAACTACATTTAAGATTTATCATGATATCCTTATGTACCTTTTTTCATCCGATTTCAATATACTAATGTTTTTATTGAGAACATAAGTTTGGTCTTTTAAACTCTTCACAGAAGTTACCTAACTACAAATTCTGGAAAAAGGGGTACATTTAAGACAGGTTGTATGTAAATACAAAATAAGACTCAGAGCAATTTTAACCCTCCTACAACAAATGTTTTTTTGTGGACCGCAATCAGACTTTTTCACAAAACTTGTCTATTTTTATAGACCTGTATGTTGAGTATACGTAACCTAAAAATGCATTATTTTCAATATTTTTCCAGAAGGTGTGCCACCTTCATAAAGCCGAAATACTAGTTTTTATGGAATTTTTGGGGATGTTCCTTATTTTATAGATTTAAAATAGACTAAATGAAGGTTTTTTTTTATAAGTTATATATAATTTGGAGTAAGTCCTTTAGGACATTCAAAAATTGGGCGAAACTACTTTAAAACCATAAAACATTGAAAAACTTGTGATTTACGGGGTTAATCATATTTTTTGAGATCGATATAACCTGAAACAATTTTTTATCTTTTTACGTTTTATTTGATACCACCAGCCCTCTTCCCTAAAAACGTAATTTTTTGGTATATTTTTTTTTTTTCGATAGAGAGCAATCAATTTAAAAATTTCAAAAAAATTCTCACGCTTAATTGAGGCTTTAACAAAACTTAGCTATTTTTTATAGACCCGCTGGTTGTGTATACATAACCTAAAAATACATTTTTTTTTTTCGAAAACAGCATATAATTTTTTGGAGATGGATGAAGGTCTATTTTTTTATTTTGTGTACTTTTTTAATTTTTAATTTTTTAGATTAGAGATTTTTCCCTAGATGCGCCACCTGCAAAAGTCCGAAAACCTGTTTTTGTGGAGTTTAAAGACATTTAGTTCAATTTTTGAATGTCGTAATAAAAAAAATATTGATTTGATCTATTTTTAAAAATATGAAAAATCCCCAAAAAACCCTAAAAATCAAGTTTTTCGGGTTTTTAAAGGTGGTACATCTTACGAAAAAATTTGGATAAATCAGAAATATATTAAAAAAAAATTTCTAGGTTATGTGCCGCAAAAAAAATAACTAAATTACGTTTAAAAAAAAATGTATTTTTAACGTATGTACACTCAACCTACGGTTCTATAAAGAATAAACATGTTTTGTAATAGTCTCAACCATGGCTATGAATTATTTGAAATTTTTAAATTGATTACAACAAAAAAAAAACGAAAAAATGATTTTTTTTGGGGACCGAGAGGGGGTGGAGGATAAAAAAACGCTGCTACAAAAAATTGAATTCTGGGAGTAAGCGGATTTTGCCTATTTTAACGGAGGGTATCCTTTCGATTTACAAAAGGCCTCATATAAAAAATGTTTAAAGAACTTTTGTAAACTATATTAGCCTAAAAATCATTAACCAAGTCCATGACACGATTAAAATTCGTGAGATAGAGATCCAAACATGTGAACGGATGGAGTACATATTATACAAAAACATGTTGATACGAAAAAATTATCCGCGCCAATTACTGATTGTCTACCAAAAACCTAACTATTATTTAAACATGGGCCCATTTCAAAACGTCGTTAAAACATGAAAATTTTCAAAGAAATATTGGTCAAGGAAGCGGAGAAAAACTGGTGAAGAGTCTCGAAAGAAGAGCAAGCCTGCCCGATTTGGAAAAACGATTGATTTTTCGTGTGCAAAAGGTAAGTATTATTTATTATACCTATTAGCAAAATGATGAAAACGTTGATGGTGTGAGTATATATTCGTGAATGTTAGGGAAATAAGTCTTCTACTTACAATCCGTAATAGGTTTTTTTAAGTTATATAAAATCTATAACAACGATAACTGTTACGCCGCCGACCACACACTTTTTTTTATTAAGTATTTCTTATTATTTTATTTTTATATTTAATTCTTTAATTAATGTGTGTGTATGTCTTATATACGCAAACTAATACGGTCCTGTACGCACCGCCCCTATGAGACTTAAGAGAAGCCAAGCTACTTCGGACTACACGCACATCAGTCTTGTAGATTCTGTCCCTTGAGTTTCCCCAGTGCACTGTGGAAGAAGCAGAAGTGTAGGTTCAACATCGCAGGTATCGATTGCATACACACACAGACAGACAGAGAAGACGTAGCATCCCAGCATTCTTACTTTTGTATCAAGAGAGAGATTGTTACTCTTGAAGAAGGCCCCAATCCGATTGAAGAGGGATCTCGCTTTTCCGATGCGTGCTCTAATCTCCTGGATGTTGGCCCATTCTTCATTTATTATGGTGCCGAGTTACTTGTAGTGCGTCACTCTTACTACAGCAGATTGCTTGACGTAGAGATGACCTTCTGTTATCCTTGTCTTGGTAATTATCATAAGCTTTGTCTTCTTAACGTTTATATTAAGTCCATATTGTTGACTGTAATACTTATAATGATTTTGTTCATAACTACAATAAATTCTACAAAAATGCTAAAAGAACAACGATGATATACGGCACTGAACATTTGTAAATGTATATTGCATAAATGAGAAAGCTTAGAAAGATGATTGGAAGAATAAAAAACTTACTTGTTTAACTCGGAGCAACTCTGATATTAAAGCTACAACCTCCGGATTTTTGACACCAACCGCCTCGTCATGGTGGTACGCCGATTTTCTAGGTTGGAACTCAACATTGCCGAGCAACAACACGGCCGATAATACCGAGAAAAGCCTCCTTTGTTTTTCAGTGGTAAAACCCACCATTTCCATGGACTGCTTTAATCTGGAAAATTCGTAGCTTTCGTCCGTATTATCCAAGGCACTGCACGATTTGTTGAGGTAATAGTATTGGTCGGGTCGTTTGAGGTGGAGCTGTTGCTTTTCTTGTTCATTTGCGCCTAAAAACAAAAATATATTAATGTTCAATATAATTTTCTTCAAATTTGTATCATTCTTTAGTAATAGTTAAATAACTTTATTACTCAAAACCAATATGAGAATAATTCCAGAAGAATACCAGTAACCACAATATCGGGAGATAAACCAACATTATAGGACAATTTCCGTGTTTTTACAAAAAACACCGAGAAACTTAAAATATCTTGGTAATGTTTATTCGGAGCTCACAGGACAATCGTCAACATGAAGTAGCAGTATGTTCCTCGATATGACGGGAGTCGACATAAGTTGTCCCACAAAGCTTTTGAATAATATTATATCTCGTTTTCAATTCAGCAGAGGATTCTTCGAGATGTTTCTTAAAAGAGAGGGTACGGTCTAGAGTAATTCCTAGGTATATGATACTGATTATTCAGAAGTGTCTGTCTTAAAAAGTGATGATTAATTTTCTGTATGTCATTTTATTATTGAGATGAAAACAACATAAATATTTTAGTTTTGCTAGCACTAGGACATACCCTCCATTTTTATAAAATATTATTCCATAGTTTTTAAATTTTACATTAAAATTTCTACTGCGATATCTATGAGTTTTTTTATTAAATATATTCCTATAAAAGCCTTAGCTTCCTAAAGCTCTGGCTTAATTCGTCAAGTAGAGAGGCAAAACAAAAATTCCTTTACTGGTTCCAGCCAGTGACTGACGAATTAATTTGCTGCCAATTCCTACTTAACCTATTGGACTCTTTATAATATAGTTCTCGTACAGACAATTCATATATAGTTTATTGGAGGTTCCAGTATTACATGTCCAAGAAGACATACCTGAGATACTCTGTGGACCAGACCTGAACACATCGCCCATCCATTCATCTTCACTAATTGACTAATTAGTTGTTTTGTTTATTTCTGGTGCATCTTGATTGTGATTTTGGTATAGTTCCAATTATTAATTAGGATTTCCTTGTTGTATTAATATTATTAATTACATTAATATGAGCTCCAATATCCGTAGTAATCTAAGTCTACTATTTTGTACACTACCATGATACATGTAAATTCTAATCTTGAAAATGTGCAAAATATACAGTCGATAAGAACGATCATTTTTATTTTTTCATTCATAATTTAAAAATAGTTACGAATATTTCACTAAATGTTTTCTTCAATTTCGCTTGTAAAAAATGCCAAACTTCCCAAAAATTTCCTAACAGCCGTTACAAAAATGTTATCTACCAAAACAAGAAATTAGTTGAGTTACGAACGAAATCAGGAAGCCCAATTACTGATATCAATAGCCTTTAGATTACCTTAAACGATTTTTGTGGTTAATATAGATTGAGCATTTCCTTGAATCGATAAGACAAATATTATAATATTTAATACTCACTAACAATTTAACAATTATTTATATTTATATATATATATATATATATATATATATATTATATATATATATATATATATATATATATATATATATATATATATATATATATATATATATATATATATAAGGATCACTCAGACGAGTGGTGGGTTCTTATATCGGTCTCTAGGTGGAGAAATAAAAGACAAAGTTGATAGGCTACTTTATCTATATTTTGAAGACGTTTCGCTTTCGAGTTTTGAAAGCATCATCAGTTCATCTAAAAAGTACAATATGAGAACCACACAATCATGGAAACGATGACATGAAAACTATTAAGTAACTAACAACATATATGAACTTATAAAAATTAGCACAGCAAATGACCATGTGGTCTAAAGTAAATTAAATGTTATTTAATGTTAATTAGTGAGCAAGAACTAAGAAAATCATAGACAACTTCCAACTATTTTATGATTATTAAGCTTTGATTTTAACTTTAGGTAGCATTATAAGTGATATTAATAAAAATTATAAAAGTAGTGTAGATGAAGTTACCGATCAAAGCCCTACAGTTGTCGCCGGACAAATGGCGTTAGATGAACCGGAACGAACTAAACCGCGAAAAGACAGCCAACCTTGAGGTCAAAATACTTTTGACAGATCAGCAAGGTGGAGGTACCAACCCAAATAACTGGGCGGTCAATTTAAAAGTTTAAATGAGTTTGGATGACTACCCGGTTGCAAAAGACAAACCAGTGAAAGAAATTGGTATTGTAATAGCAGCTCCTCTCATTAATCAGCCTAGATTTACAAACAGGAGATTTTCATTCAACTTCATATGTACGTAATAACGTTAATCATTATGGCTAGATAATCAGCCACAGGTGGTTAACGACGCATTAATTTCCAACAGCCCAAGGTTCATGTACGTGATGTACTGATGTACGTGTGTGTTCATGTACTAATCTAAGTAATCAGTGTATGAAAATGCAATGTAAGTTGCATATGTAATAATAAGTAAAGAATATTTAATTATTTTATGTATTTTATTTCTATTTTATGTATTTAAATTATTTCATGAAAAATGGAAAAAAGGTTCAAGTAGTACACCTAATATGACATTTAATACAGTGAAAAGATCAAGAAGCCTAATTCTGCAAAATTAAAGCATGATATATTTGGCTCAAGTTACTTATGTCAGTTCTCTTATTCAAAGCATTAGGGTGTTTTAGTATTGAACACATTTCCAAAAACTGTCTTTTAGCTAGATTGCGTTCAGTGGCAAGGATCTTAACTTCATTGAAATCCACTTCATGTTTGGTATTTATCGCGTCTTGTGCCAGGGCACAAGTGTGTTTTGATAAATTAATGTCACTACGATGTGAAGTGAGACGACCTTTTATTGATCTACTGTAATAAACTGAGGCGAGAGCAATAAGGGAAACGGGAGAGGGGTAAAGGAACTTCTATGTATAGGGTCCTGTAACGCAGAAGAGAGCGTTATGTGAATGTAAGGAAAACGCTGTCACTAAATGAAATACACAATAGATCCTCAAGGGATGCTAACCCTGCGAGCGGCTGCAAGGAATACTGGTCACACTGGTCTGGAGGGCTGGCTCGTCTTCGTGGATTTACGAGAAGATAAGGGATTTCGGGATAGGGGTAAGGACTCCTAGGTCTCAGGTCCTGTGAAGAGTAGAGGTTATGGGCTTACTTTTGAAGCCGGAGATATGCATACGCAGAATCTCGTGTTCTCCTAGTCTCTAGTGAGTCGGACGAAAGGAACATTAAAAAAAAAACCAAATTAGAGTCAACAATATATTGAATCTACCCTGAAGTTACTAATACAATCGTTAACACGTTATTCTGCGCGTCGGGAGACGATGTAGCAAGATAGTGAAGAGTTGACAGTTGTACTAATATAATTACACAGGTTAGTATAAAGAAATCTGTTACCTTATGTGTATATTAGGGCTTCAACCACGACACGTTCAGTCTTCTGGAACTCGGTCAGTTGAGGGTTGCGAACTTTCGAGCTGCCACAATAACCGGACTACACGCGAACTATGCCAGATGATACGCGGCCCCCGGAGAATCACCGATTGTCTCGCGTACTGTTCGCGTACTGGACGCTATCGCGTCCAGCCGGAGTTCAGCAATTACTGACTGCCCATTACTAGCTACTCGTACCCGACGCTACCGCGTCGAAAGTACCCGGGGCGGCAATTGATGCCTGGACGCCCGCCGTCTCACTACTGACTGACTGACTGACTACTGACTTGGCTGTCCCCGTTTTCTAGTTTTTATCGAATGGTGTCCTCATTGACCGGTTATAGTCCAAGGTTGTGTTTTCGTTGAATTGTGGGTCCTATATTGCATTACAATAACAGTTTTTTGTTTGACGTGCTTTTCTATGTTTAAACAATTAACAAACAATGCAATAACTAGGTCAATTTATTTGTGGGATTTAAAAATGAAAATTTTACTGTAATAATTATCCCTTATTTGATTTGGAATATATAATAATTATCTCGAATAATTATTATCTTTTCTATGCTACTTAACCATTTAATTCAACTTCTCACTCACTTGCTACGCTTACATTACACTACCAGTCTGACCAATGTAACATAAATCGCAATTAGCGCATAGAATTTTATAAATTGTGTTAACTTGTTCCAAAGTGGACAAGGGTGTTTTAGTTTTAGAGAACAAATTTCTAACAGTTTTCTAACAGTTTTAGCATTCTTAATTTATTGGGTGGTTCTCATATTGTACTTTTTAGATGAACTGATGATGCTTTCAAAACTCGAAAGCGAAACGTCTTCAAAATAGATAAAGTAGCCTATCAACTTTGTCTGTTATTTCTCCACCTAGAGACCGATATAAGAACCCACCACTCGTCTGAGTGATCCTTATTATATATATTGGATTGACGGTCGTACTCCTTTTTCCGATATATATATATATATATATATATATATATATATATATATATATATATATATATATATATATATGAGTAAGAAAAAAGAAGTACTTGTGACTCGTTTGGAAAAAATATAACACTCTTTTTGATGGGTTGGAGTCAATAAAAGGGGCTATTTGTTGACTATTTTTTACTCGAGCTTTCAATTGTGATTACAATTTTTATCAAGAGCTTCTAAAAAATACAAAATGTCTTACAAAGTTAAACTAGAAATAAAAAATTTTTTGTTAACTCAAAATATATATATATATATATATATATATATATATATATATATATATATATATATATATATATATATATAGCTTTTAGCCCTGCTCGTGGGTTGGCAATCAAAAAATTGGCTATACTAATTTTGTTAACGGCAGCTCGGAAAATTGGAAAAGGGATGCAGAGGATATGTCAAAGCATTCTCTCAGGTTTTTAAGCCATGACGTTCTTCTTCAACCTCACCATCTTCTTCCATCTTCCATCTATATATTAAACCTAGAGCTAAGATTAATACTATTACAGGAATTAAGATTAAACTTCCGGGTTGAATCGCGTCGCTTATCATTGGGCCGAGCTTGCGACATCCTCTTCGATGTCTTTTTCAGGGATTCCGAGGTCTCTGTCTGATCACTCACCAATGCATTACTGGTACTGGGAACAGAGGACGGTTCATTACATTACATTACAGTAAAGCATCGACGGTGGTTTGGGTGGAGGTTGGCGTGAGGGTTAGCGTGGGGATTGACGCGGGGTTGGCTCGAACATTTTTGACAGTAAGATTTTTATTGACTGATGGTACGGACAATCTTTTCTTTATGAGAGGTCTTGAAGTCGAAGGCAACTCTATGCCGTCATTTCTTTTATTGAGACAATTTGGCATTTTTTCAATTTCTATGACTTCTCGGAGAATTCTTGGTTTATAGAAGCGGATGGGACTATAATTTTTGAGTTTTTAAAATCAATTTTGTGACCTGTATGAAGATGGTGTTGACCTAGAGCTAAAATTGAGTCGGGATTGCGAACAGAAATGGAATGTTCATAAATCCTACTTTGGATTCTACGATTTATTTGGCTTATACAGGATCGGGGGCAGTCTGCACAAGGAATTTCATAAACTCCGCATTGTTCATTTGAAATGTTGTCTTTGATTGATCGGACAAGAGATGAAAGTTTCTGTTGCGGGATAAATATTGTTTTTACTCTTGATTTAGGAATTTTGTCAATTTTGTCAGTGACACCTTTGATGTAAGGAAGAGAAGCCTTCATATGATGAGAGTATGAGTCTTTGAGTTCAGATTGAGTGGGGATTGATGTTGATGATGTGGCTTCTTCTATTGATGTGATTTTAGGATAGGAGGATAAGTGGTTTGGGTGGAGGTATAAAATTCCTAAATTCCTTGTCCAAACTGCCCCAGATCTTATACAGGCTAAACAAATCGTAGAATCCAAAATAGGATTTACGAACATTCTATTTCTGTTCGCAATTCCGAATCAATTTCAGCTCAAATGTAACTAAAGAAATGAATATTTTTAACTAAAAATTAAGAGTGGCCTTAATTTTTAACTAATAATTCAGAGAGATGTTCAAAATGACCTCCCTCTGCTTCAACACAAGCGTCGAACCGTCTGAGAATTCATGTTTACATGGTGTATGTATCATCTCTCTCGTAATATGAGTATACGCTTGTCTAATTTTAGTTTTTATTAGTCTACATCTGTAGATTTTTCCTTATAAATAATTCCTTTTTAATAGACTCGTATCAAAAATCTAAGGGTGACAGCTCAGGCAATCTTGAAGGCTATCGGAAAAGTCGGTAAAGAACGGTAATTTTGTGGTAATTGTAGTGACTAGTGTTGTTAATACAGTGTGAAATCCATAAAATTTGTTTCTATTCTAAACTTTAAAATAAGAAACTAACTGTACAAACTAAGGAAGTAAAGCTATTGCTAATGTGATTAAATTTGTCTGTCTTAAATGAACAATTTGTCGTAAATATACGTTTTAATTTAAAGTTCAAAAGAAATATTATATATTATTAATTTCTCTCCCTCTTTCGCGCGCATCTTTACTTTATATATAGGCGCATCAATTAACAATATAATTGAATACTAAGCAGAAATTAATTTAAAAATAACTAAAGTTATATGTAAGATTCCTCTACACTGTTCTAATATCGATGAATATATCACCAAAATTAAAAGAGTATCAGAGTAATATAAAGACCAATGCTACTATTTGGTTGCGAAACAAGATCAAACAAGATCGAGCAAGACCAAAACAAAAACGATAAATGGGAACGAAAAGTATTAAAAAATATAAAGACTTCTTGTGTGGAATACTGAGCAAGGTGGAGGAAATGCACAAGTGAATAAGTTTAAAATTTACATTAAACGCCACGAATAAACGAAACAATTAAAAAAGTCTTCTTAGGTTGGAGTAGCTGGAGCTGGAATATTAAAAACATTAGAACTACAAATGGTAAAGGAGATAACAAGAAACCAAGAAGATAATGGAAAGCGTATATTTAAGATGCCATCAGGAGAGAAGAAACCGAAGAACTGGAAAATATGAACTATTCTATTAATTTTTAGATATTTATAAATATCTGTAGAATTGTTCTCAATATTTACATAAAATAATAAAAATCCAGAATTACAATGTGTTCTACATTTTCATCTACATTATTTTATTTGAAAATGAATATGCATTTGACGACGGTAATACAGGTTTGTAAATTCTGACTCATTATGTATAATCATCATAAATTTACCTTCAGTGATTAGTTCATATTTTTACTAGTTTTTCAATGACATCCGTGTAAACATAATTTACGTTACAAGTCATGTAAGTCAGGATCTGTGAAATATAATTCGCGATAAAGATGTTTCAAATCACGATCTGTGGGAAAGAACTGATACTAAAGATATCGATATATTTCGAAAAAGGAAATGTAGTTGGATTAGCCACACCCATCCAATAAAATTTGTCATAGATTAATAGTTCTTATTATAACATTGTGGATCAAAACAGCTATTTTTAATCTGTTAGCAGCAATTTATAGATAAATCTTACCGAAAATTCTTTCTATACTCTAAAATATTATCAAGAAGGGAGCTCATGTAAAACAGCTATACATAATCTGGTACCGAGTCCCGAGAGGAGCTTACGCCAAAAAACTGGCCCTATCTGCATTCTTAGACCTTAAAGATGCCTCTGTCAGGGGTATGTAGAAGTGCTGATGACAAAGATAACGAAACATAATGCAGGTAGATGGAGCAAAGGAGCCATCTAGTTAAACGTCTATCTAGATGGATCAACTCCTCCATATTGTGCAGTATATAGTTCAATATATAGACGCCTTTGAAATGTGGACATGGAGACGCCTGCTTCGAATTCCATGGACGGCTCGCCGTACAAATATCTCGGTTCTGAATGAAATTAAACCGGATCAGCGTCTCTCCAGTACCGTTTACTCTAGGATTTTAAAGTTCTTTGGCCATATCCATCGAAGTGATCACAAAATGGTGCGGTTGGTGGTCCAAGGAAGGCCTCAGACTCAACGCCAACGCGGAAGATCCCCACAGCGATGGGCGGACATTACTAAAAAGCTTCTCAATAAACAGTATACTGAGGCAATACATATAACTGATGACCGCGACCAGTGGAGAAATATTATCAATCAAACTGTCCGAGCTGCTGAAGCCCAATTATGAACCACAACACATCTACTAAGATGTTAATGACTGTGATGATGATCAACAAGAAATGAAATGTATTTCTGACAGTGGCAAGTCGGGGAGGAAGAACGAAGTCCATCAGCCCATCCAAAGGTACGTGTGTCCTATTCTGATCAAGGAGCATATGGTTGATTTCTTGCACAATTCGTATTTAAAGTATTGTAAAATTTTAAAACAAAATAAATTACATAAGAAAGCCCTGAAATTAGTATTTCCACCACCAGAGAAAAACCAGTACCTTCTACTCGATTATATATACAGTCAAGATTTCAACAAAATTAGCCAAACATATAAAAAAGTAAGGAATAACACCAGCTTTCAGAACAAACAACAATTTAAGCAAATATATTAAGAACAACAAGAGCCAAAAAAATGCACTTAAACAGTGGTGTATACAAACTTAAATGGGGCCACTGTCCAAAAACTTACATCGGTCAAACTGATAGAACTTTTAACAAACGTTTAGCAGAACACAATAGGGTTTTCAATAATAGAAAAATAGATTCTACATACGCACTTCACCCTTCTTTTAATGGCCAATTTAAAATTCTTCACATTCAAAATAAAGGCCTTAAGCTATCTTTATTAGAATCTGAATTTATTAGATCTGAAACTATTTCTCACCTGGAAAATCTTAAAAGCGTGAAATTATGTTCGGTATTATTGAAGTATGGGAGTGTTACAAGTGTACAACTTTTTAGAATCATTAACATAAGCAAATATTTGACAATCAAAAAACCTTACCTTCTAATAAATAATAAAACACGTGGTAGTTCCTTTCGTATCTTCCTTGCGAGCATATCCTAGATTTTTCCAGAAGGTACTTTTGAACCACAGCGCCATGAACCATGCCATTTTCTTTGTAGTTGACTTGAATAAACTTTCCAAATCGACTGTAACAAAAAAAAACAGTATAAGTAGTGCAAACCGGTACTGTAGTTTATCAAATAAAATTCGCATTGTGCTTATCAAAGTGTAACTGAAGAAAGATAGTAAACTTAAGTTCGAGTAGTCGTCCTTAATTACCCTGGACTTATAGTAATTAAACAGGTGGCAAGATATGGTCTTGAATTTGGCAAAGATTCGGCAATTCTCAAGCTTTTCAAAGGTAATATAAGTGGGTATAAACTTACAGTTGTTGATGTCTGTCTACTCCTTGAAAATTCAGTGACTGTGATTCATTAATACTGATAATTAATAAAACCGCATTTCGTTTAGAGATAGATTTGGAAGTATTACGATAATTTATAATATTTCGCAATGGAGGTACTTATACTAAGATCAAAATCGGACAGGTCCTCACCTTAGAAGGATGTCATCAGAAGTGCCTCTTTTCAATTCAGAAAATTACCGCTTCTATTGTACACATGGCACTTTCTCTAATTCTGAAAATTCCTAGCAAATATGGTCATACTTTATTAGAAAAGGGCCTAAAATGTAGTGAAGAAAGTATGGTGTGTCTACTTGTAGTGGACTAGGTTTTACTCCATTTGAATCGATTTCTGCCGAAATAGATGATGGAAAAATATATGAATACAGAAACAAAAGCTCAAAAGGTATTAAATAAACTTAAGAAATCATATGATAGGATTCTTCGAAAGGTTCTTTGGATACATTAAAAAATATATGGAGATACCTGGAGTAGAATTTGAGTTAGATGGATGAAATCGAAGGAGGCGAGGCGAGTCTTTAAAACAAAAAGGTTCCAATGAATACGGCACTGAATTATGGGCAATTAAAAAGAAAGAAAAACGACGAGTGCATATGCAGGAAGAAGAAAGACAAGATGAGTATGCAAAGTTGCAGGTTGCAAAGATGAATTTTATGAATTATTAGACCAACAGTATAAAGCTGCTAGAAAACACGACGTCAAAATAGTGATGGGAGATTGCAACGCTAAACTATGTAAGGAAGATTATTTAAGAGAAGTAATTGGTAAGCATAGCTTGCACGGCACAACAAAAAATGATAATGGACACCGGCTAGCACGATTCGCAATATCTAATAATATGATTCTTAAGTCCAACCAATTCGAGAGAAAGTACATTTACATGGTCACATGGGTTTCAAATGATGGAAGAACACGATATCAAATAGATCATGCCTTCATTGACGCAAAACACTCTAGTAGCATTATTAATTCGCGAAGTATGAGAGGAGCCGACAGCGATAGCGATCACTTTTTGTTGAAATATAAGTTTCGCGATTATCAATACAGAAACTGGAACAACAAGAAAAAAGAGAAATATGGAACATAGAAGCCCTACAAACACCAAATAAAGAACTGGATTATCAAGTGGCAATAAGCAACAGATTCCAATTGCTGGGAGAGGAAGAGCATAATGTAGAGTTAGAACAAACATGGCAGCAAGTGGCATCAGTTATAGAATAAGAAGCCAAGGAAACCATTGGAGAAAAGAGGACTCGTCCAAAACGGAAATGGTTTGACAAAGCATACGAAGAAATTCTGGAAATAAAAACGAAAAAAAGATTGAAAATGCTACAAGACCCTACAGATGAGAACAAAGCAGATTTTAACAGAACAAGAGCACAAACAAGGCGACTATTCAGAGCTAAAAAGAGGAGCTACCTAGAACAGCAAATCTGGGAAATGGACAGAAGTGGTGAGATGAATCAAATAAGGAAATTCTTTAGTGAAGTGTAGTCAGTCAGAAAAGGTGCAAGTGTTGGAGTAATACAGCCTATGAGAAATGAAGTCAGGTGAACTTATAATGATAGAAACGGAAATCGTCGAACGATGGAAGGAATACTTTCGGCATTTACTAAATATTCAAAGTGAGACGGAGGAAGCAGGTATTACGTTTCATTCTGCAGATATCGAAATAACAGCAAAAACACTTAAGGAAGTAAAGAATGCGATCGCGTCTCTAAAAGACCATAAAGCACCAGGAAATGATGGCATAAATGGAGAGTTGTTAAAAAAAGGAGGAAACCTTTTACACCAAAAATTGTATGACATCATTCTGAGAGTATGGCAACAACAGAAAATGCCTAGAGAATGGAATGGAAGCGTTATAATTCCCATATATAAGAAAGGAAACAAAGAACAACTCGAACAACGAAACTATAGAGGCATATCGCTTATTAGCGCATCATATAAAGTGCTATCAATTATCTTGCTAAAGAGACTCACACCATATTCGGAAGATATTCTAGGCGACTACCAATGCGGCTTTCGTGCTGGAAGGTCAACTATAGATCAAATAATTACCATCCACAAATATTAGAGAAAAACTTGGAATTCAACCGCGATGTGCCCCAAATTTTCATAGATTTCTAGCAAGCATATGATTCCATAAAAAGAAGCAAATTGTGGATAGCAATTTTAGAAATAGGAATACCAAGAAAATTAGTTGATTAACGCAAATGTCGGTGACACTTATATGCGCAAGTAAAGATAGAAAGCAGAACGTCGATGCCATTTGGTATAAATTACGGACTAAGGCAAGGGGACCCCTTGTCGTCGTTGCTGTTCAATTTTGCTATAGAATATGCAATAAGTAAAATATCGTCTTTGCTGACAGGAGGAATTGCTGATCAAGGATCAAAACTGTTGCTGGGATTTGCTGATTATATAGATATATATGGTAGTAACCCAAAATCCAAGACCAAGAGTTGGGATGCGGGAAATAGAGCATTATACTCCCTTTCAACATTATTAAGATCGAAGCTGCTAAAAAGAAAATCTAAATTAACACTGTACAAGTCGATTATTCGCCCAATTATTAAATATGGCAGTGAAACATGGACTCTCAACCAGCGGGAAATCAATAAGCTTCTAGTATTTGAAAGAAAGGTTCTCAGAATAATATTTGGCCCTCAAAGAGATGAATTCACAGGGATTGGAGAAGACGCCGCAATGCTGAATTGGTGACTCTGTATGGAACTGAAAACATAGTAAGACATATCAAGGCAAACCGAATAAGATGGGCAGATCACGTGGTACGATCATAGGATGACAGAGTGTTAAAGACAGTGTTTTTTGAAAGACCAGATGGTAGAAGATCAGTAGGCCGACCGAGAAAAAGATGGAAGGATGATGTTGACGCAGATTTATCTAGAATTGGGGTACAACAATGGGAAATAGAAGCGCAAGATCGTAGATGATGGAGGGCGATAGTGGATGCGGCGAAGACTCACCCCGAGTTGTAAAGCCAGTGAAAAAGAAGAGGAAAGTTGCAAGTTCTTGGAAGGACCCGAGAGGTAACGCTTAGACAGGTCATATTTGTAACAGAGATGAATATCGGTATTAAACAAAATAAAATTTATGAAGAAGTGTATTTAATAAAGCCGACTCCACAATGGATTAAAGTCATAGGGAATGGTGACTATCATGCCCAATTTGTTAAGTTGTATTTTGGTTGTTTTCCACAAAGTAACAAACGAGAGAAAATTAAAAAAGAAAAAAACAGTTTATTCATTGCATATTTATTTTTTATTACCCATTAGATAAAGCAGATACTACAATTATATTTTTTTATATATTAAAAGCGTGTGATCTAACAAGTTGCAACAAATTCTTTATAAATAAATCTTTTACATATTTCCGAATATTTCAGATAGTGCGAGTAAACTGAAAATTTATAAAATAAATACGATAAGTATTTTTTGGCAAGTATGAATAATTGATGATTTATCAGTGTTTGTTTTTTAAAATATATGAGTAGGTGAATGGATAAACCTATCAATGTGAGAGTTAAAATATTTACTTATTTAAAATTGCAATAAATCTTCAATCAAAAATACTTTAGCTCTTATCGCTGGTATTTCTTATTAAAATCATTTCATATAATAAATAGAACAAGTGCAGGTTTTTTACGTTGAAGTTATTATTCATGAGATTGATTTTTATGTTTGTCAACAATAATTATGATTACTGGTTTCAACAGATTGTTCAACGTGAAAAATATAGCAGTCAACTCAATAAATCAAATTAATGGCAGGTATAGTACTAGACTTAACGTGTATTATATCGATTTGTTCCAAAACGAAATTGTTTCACTTTGTAATTTTTAATAAAAAGTTTTGTTTGTTCTAAAACGCCATAAAATGAAACAGAAATCAGTTATTCAAAACATACTTTATTTTATAGTCAATTTTATGCAAATGCTTATGAATTTTTGCGCAAGTGTGTACGCTACCTCGTAATAATATAACAACCAATGGGTACCAGTGGAGTTACTACACATATCAATATTGCTAATTAATTGTTCAACAATAAAATGACACCTCAGTTGTGTATATATAAAACGACACTTGAGATGACAATTTTATTGTTGAGATTTCGAGTAATTATGTCTCAGGTATAAGTAGGTCTTATCTTAAATGCAAATTTTAATTCTGGAAAATCCAATTCGGAAATCGCGAGTATGTTACAACTGTCACGCTATAGTGTAAGAAATATAGTCAGAAGATACAAAACTACAGGTTCGGTCGCCACAAAACCTATAAGTGTACGAAAAAGTAAAATAACCAAAGCAGATCGAAGGGCATTATGAAGCATTCTAATGAAAAATCGACGAGCATAAGAGTTTTATGGAGTGACGTTATTGGAAGACACGTTTGTAGATCAACATGTCACCAAGAGGCCCACAAATTAGGATTTGGTACTTAGTAAGTTTTATGGTTGAAAAAATTAGTACGAATTGTTTTTAATACATTTCATTTTATTTTAGGCTAAGGAAAACCCACTTTTAACATTACAACAAAAGAAAAGTAGACTAAGATGGTCAAAAGAGCATAAATATTGGACTCAGTCGCAATGGGATTCAATACAATGGAGTCCAGATTTGAAGTGTGTGTTTGAGACAGTATGAGTTTCGTAATTTGCAGGAAAAATGAAGCATTCATTCCCGGCTGCCTGAAGAGAAAA